TTCTCCTCCTCTTTCTTATTTTTCCTCCTTCTCCTTCCTCTTCCTCTTCCACTTCCTCTTCCTGTTCCTCTTCTTCTTCCTCCTCCTCCCCCTCCCTCTCCCCTCATTTTCCTCCTCCCCCTCCTCCCCCTCTTCTTCTAACCCCAGCTGCTATAGGCTAATGAAACTGCATTCATCCACAGAGTCCCGCAGCCACACTTGCTTGGGTTTTTCAGGCTTGCCTTGGCCCCGCTCCCCAAATGACCTGCCCATTGCCACCAGACGGATGTTTCCATGTGGACGTCATCATTTCCAAAAGCCATCAGTGACACTGCACAGTCCAAATCTCCAGACCTTGCCATTGTCCTGGCATGTAGGGGGCACTCTGCCCCCACCCCATGCCTACTTTCTGATTTTTTTTTTTTTTATCATTTATATCTCTCATTCCAGCTCACCCTTATCACTCACTTTTAAGTTCCCAGACTGTCCTCAGGTGTGGGAGAATGTCCACGTGAATCCTCAACTCCCACAGCGTGGAGCTTGGAGCTCCACCTCCTCCCTAACACCCAGCTCTAGCGCCATCGTTCCATGAAGCCTTCTCCAGTCCCACTAAACTGAGCACACGTTTCTGCTCCTGGATCGAATTTCCCCTCAGAAGCCTTAAGAAGAAAGTGTAGATGCCACAGCTTTGAATTTAAAGCTTGTTCTGGTTTGTGCCAAAAATACCATTTCAGCTTAATTTCCAAGGGTTCTCTTGTAGCCACGTGAAAGGAACTGCCATTCCCAGGAAGAGGTCATCTACCTTCATGGCAAGGGACGTGGGCTTCAGAGTCAGAAAGACTTCTTTAAATGCTGACTGACTCCTCCACTAACCAGAGGAGACAACTTGTTTCCTCACATCCTTAAAGGTCATATTGGATTATTTTAATTATGACAGTGCATTTAGACACCTTTATAACTTGTCAGCATCAGTAGGCACTCAATAAAAATTAAACACCTTTTATTGCTCTTCACTTTTTCTCTACTCGCCATAAGTGAGATTCTTTATCAAAGCTTTACACTTCTTTGAAACCTTTCAAAGTACACTTAATCGGAATTCATTTTGTTCCTTTATGATTCCTTGGCAGATTTTACACTTCAGAATATAAATTGTCTGTTTCCTCTACCGTAGTATGGATTAATTGATAATAGGGACCATTTTATAGTAGGTGTTTGTATCGAGTTCTGGGAAATTCTATTTTAATCTATCTTTCTGTCTCTCTGTCTCTCTTAGATCTCTCTCTCTCTCTGTCTCCCTCAATTAGCAACTCTACTATGATCTAGTTCACATAATGTGTAACTTATTATTTTAATATCTGTAATTTAGAGGTTTTTAGCATATTTGTAGTTACACATAGGTCTCTGCAATTGATTTTAGTACATTTTCACTCCACTGACTGACTTCAAAAGAAATACACCCTGTATTTCTCTTCCCCAACTTTCCGCCCTTCTTGCCCCTGGACAACCACCGATCTGCTCTCTGCTTCTACACATGTGCCTGTTTTGAGCATTTCATATACATAGAACCAAAATATCTGGTCTTTTGAGACAGACTCCTGTCAGTAAGTATAATCTTTTCAAGATTCATGTTTTGCCATGTAGCAGAACAATATTTCATTGCAAAAGAACAACATTTCCTTGTATGACTTTACCATAGTTTGTTTCTCTTGATCCGTTGTTGGACATTTGAGTAGTTTCCCATTTTGGCTATCATGGCTAATGCTGCTATGAACATTCATGTGCCGACTTTTGTGTGAATACATATTTTTATTTCTTTTTCATGTATATCTAGGAGTGAACTGTGATGAGTAACTCTATGTTTAACCTTTTTAGAAAATGCCAAACTATTAAATAGTTGCACTATTTTGCATTTCTACTAGCAACAGGTAAGGGTTTCAGTTTTTCCATATCCTTATCCACACTTGTCAATACCTGGTTTTTATTACAGGTATCTTAGTGGGACTGTTTTTTGTTAGGGCAATATTCTTAATTCATTCGGTCTGTATTTTGTTAAGTATCAGGCACCATGCTAAGCTGCTGGGACCACTGATGAAGAAAAGAGACAAACGTATCTGTGTGGGAGAAGAGACACTTAACAAGTAATAAATTTTTATCGAAGTCTCTGTGCAAAATGAGATTTCTTTCTTCAGTCCTGGTTAGCAAGCAGCTGTGCTTGTTCTTGTGTTTGCCTGTTTAGCAAATTGAGATCCAGCGTAATCAAACAACTTTTGCATAGCTGTCTGTCTCAGTTATTTGTCCCTCATTGCTGGGACAAAATAACTAAGACCCAAAATGAAGGAAGGAAAGGTTTATTTAGGTCACAGTTAGTGGAGATTTCAGTCCATACTCAGATGGCTCCAAGGCAGAGCGGCACATGGCAGCGGGCAGCCGTTCAAGGTGGTGGAAAGCAGCAAAGAGCAAAGGGAGGAGCAGCAGCTGGGGCAGTTAGCAAGCCTCTCTCCCTTCCTTATGTTGTATTCAGATCACTCACCCCAGGGCGGGTGCAACACTCATAATCCCAGCAGCACTCACACCCATAATCCCAGCAGCACTCATACCCATAAATCCTAGCACTAGATCATAAATTAATCACAAACTCTAAAAGCTTGCCCCAGTGACTATATGAGGCTTTGGAGGGACAAGTAGACACAAACCATGACACTATCTTTATTTGCCCTCTGTCTTAGTCATGTTTTTACTCGTTGCTGGGACAAATACCCGACACTCAAGATGAAGGAAGGAAAGGTTTATTTAGCTCACAGTTACTGGAGGGTTCAGTCCATGTTCCGCTGGCTCCAAGGCAAATGACAGTAGTTCATGTGGCAGGAAACAATGAAGAGCAGAGGAGGAGCAGCTGCAGCGGCATCCGTCAAACCTCTCTCTTCCTTCTACGCTGACTGCAGAGACAGGGGCTCCAAGGTGCAGATCAGAGCTCCTTCAGAGTGGCCCAGCTGAGAAGCTCAAGCTCCTCCAAAGACTGGGACTTCTCTATGGAAGCAGGACGGGGCAGCAGGAAACTGGGCAGGCAGGGTGGTAGGAAGCCTTTCTCAATTCCTGGGCCCTGCCCACATGCCGGGCAAGGCCTCCCCGCTGAGAACTGTCAGAGCGGATTCAGCCAAGTTGACACGATATATCAACTAACACACCTTCTTAGAGGGTGACAAAAACTATAAAAAAGAGAAGAAGAAGAAGAAGAAGAAGAAGAAGAAGAAGAAGAAGAAGAAGAAGAAGAAGAAGAAGAAGAAGAAGAAGAAGAAGAAGAAGAAGGAAAAAGTGATGAAACATGTCAGCAAGAAAGGGACAGATTGTGCATTAATGTGCTCAGGTGAAGCCACATTGAGTTGTCGGGAAAAATTTGAGGATAAATGCATCACGAGATTATCAAGAGGAAGAGTTTTATGACCCAGAGAAGCAGCCTGCCCAGATCCCTGAAAGCAGTATTCTCTGTCCAAGCAACAGCAGGGAGGCTGGTGAGGCTGCACAGGAGTGTGCCGCAGAGAGGAGGTCAGGAGCTAGGGCAGTGGCTCAAAGGCCCCGTCACAGGACTCAGCAAATGAATGTTGCATGAACACACTTATACTAGAAGATGTTCATTGCTTACCTAAAGTTCTTTATCTGGACATGATTAGCAACCCTTCTGTGGGCCAGTGTAAGGACTGTGAGCTTCACACAGGGAAGTGAGGAGGGAAGCCGCCATCTTTCTTAAAGCCTTGGAAGGGTCCCTCTGACTGCTGTGCTGAGAATGGGCTGTGGAGGATGGAGCTAGAGACAGGCAGGCTGGGAGGCTGGTGCAGGGCTCGGCGGGAGGGGTGGGACTGCCTCAGAGAGCAGTGGCAACAGCAGAGGTGGTAAGAAATGGTCAGATTCTTCATCTGTTTTGAAGGTCGAGCCAAAGGCATTTCTGCATAGATTAGATGTGGAGTGTGAGCAGTGGGGAAGCTCTTGGAATGAGCACCCGAAGGAATGGGGAAAGGTGGGTGGAACAGTTTCTGATGAGAATGCTAGATTCATTTTAGTTGTGCTGAGCTGGTGATAGGTCACAGAAGAGGAGGCAGAGCCATCAGGCAGCTGGATTTTTACGTGTTTTCCATAAAGATATCCAATAACATAAGTTTAAAGGCCACGCCTTTGCTGGAGACGAGTTTTTTAAATTTATTGTGCTTTGCATCTTACTATTTAAGGGATCTTCTGCATGCCTCATTGGCCTTTGAAAAAAATGCTTAGGGAAAAAGTAGCCAGGATTGGACTCAATTTCCTGCTTTCTTCCCCAGTATCTGGGCTGCAAAGCCAGACTATCCCAGTACCCCATTTTACTTGGCATAAGAATGTATTTTTCCATCCTTGGTTTTCCTCACTTCCATTCATTCCTTTCATCCACTCTTCAAATTTGAGAGAAAAAGATATTACTACTCAGATCCTTGCTTCAGAGCGTCCTTCCAGAGGCTGAAAAATATTGAGCAGACTACCCGCTTCCTAAGGTGGCCAGAGGAATGGCCATCTAGAGGGCCAGAATGGCGCAAGTCCTTGTCACCCTCCTAGCCTGGATGGCTGTCTCTGCTCATGAGCCTTTCACTGATTGCAAGGCGTTTAGAAGAGATGGCTCTTAGCTGCCTTCCCTCCTTTAACCCAAGGCTTGAGTAAAGTAGAATTTTTTTTTCTGTCTTGACTAGCAAGTCTGCCTTTTCATATACCATCCATTTTACCTTAGACTTGTGGTCCAATTTAATTTGAACATTGTGTATGGCTATATTTAAAATTACCTGCAAATTTACATCTACAATGGGATTGTGTATTCCCAGGGATTGGGAATAAACTATGGCTTTTCTTCCAGAGGTCTTGATCTTGTGCACTGTGTTGCTTTTAATCAAAAACATTTTAAATTGGCATATTCTTACCTAAAGCATTTTTTCACAATAATGGCTATGTTCTGTTTCTAGGCTAACAAGTAAAATGGTGATTAAATGACAACATATATGTATTATATTTCCTGTGTTTTGCAGGGCTTGAAAGGGACAAGTTTGACAACAAAACTGTTTCCTTTGAAGAGCACATTAAGTCAGAGCACAGCATGTGGCATTATTTGTACTTCATTGTCCTGGTGAAAGTTAAAGACCCAACAGAATACACTGGCCCTGAGAGTTACGTGGCTCAAATGATTGTGGTGAGTGCCAGAGTTTTCATCCGTGACTACACTGTGTTTTGTATGTTTCCACCCTCTCTTCCCTGTCATTTTTCCCAGAATGCAAAGGTTTTAGCAGGTGGTGTGGTTGTTTTTCAACTTCCAGATAGGTTTGTCAGTCACTGCAGTACTCCATGTGGCCTAGATCGTTCATGGGTGCCCAGTGGATTTCTTGGGTATTCCACCAAGTCTAACTCTCAGGTGCAAAGGGGATGCTTACCAAGGGATTCTCTCAGGGCTGTCTGTCACCTTCTGACCTCAGGCTTTCTGTCGTCACTGAGCTCTCAAAGCCCCAAATCTAGAATCTTCCCATGAGTCCATTTGAACAGAAAAATCACACTTCAAGAAATTGCTTGAATTCAGCAAAATAACTCAGTATAGTAAATAGTCCATAATAGTAGTGGGTTATCAAGGACCATTTTGCAGTGAAAAATACATATATATCTGTATATACAAAAGAGTTAGGATACTATACAGCTACTTGCTCTTAGTTTAATGAGAAAAAAGATTTGTACTAACAGTGTTTAGACAAGATATCACGTGTGTGTCTTGTACTCTGAATAACTACTATAAAGACAACAAATGTGATGTATTAATTACTGTATCTGTCCTACTAACCTGTTTTGAAACTGTCTCATTGCTGTTTTTTCCTCATTAAAATTAATAAAAATAGAAATTGCTTGAGCTTCAGAAATTAAAAGCTCAAGAAATTCAATTGTGTGTGGCAAAAGGACGATGTTGAACCCTAAAAGGAGAACTGAGCTTCCTGGCAGTGGACACTTTGGGTTGCTAGACCTGCGCTGGTGGTAGGTTTCAATTGATCTTGCTACAGCTAGATGCTAATAGCTTCTCATTAAGATAAGCACAGGAGGATGTGGTTGCCCCTGGCTTGAAGTTTCTTTTATCTCATGGAAAATTAAAGCTAACTGGCCTAGAGGGAAGTTTTAAGTTATAACTTTAGTGTAGCCATGCACACATTTAGTTAGTATAATTGCATTCATATAAATTCTTGTTCACGTAGGCTGCCTATTGGATATTTTTTTTCTCATACATACACACAAAATCATCCTACAAAATTGTAACTATCAGAGAAACAGGCCTTAGAAGAGGCAGGAACCTCCTTGCTGCTGGGTTGTATGTGTAGTATTTGGCACCTGTGCCAAAGACTCGGGAGATAGAAGCTAAGAGAAGGCCTCTCTTTCTCTCTGAGAGCTTGTTGATTACCTAGGAGGCCCAGCCCCAAGAGCCTCCAGAAATGTGTTTGGAGGGTGACCTGTGGATAAGTACAGGTGAATACGGTGATAACTTAGCTTCTAGTCAATAGCGATGTGTTCCAAGAAGGCTCCCTGTAAATTGAAGTTTTCGTGCTGTTCATAATTGATCTTTACATAGCTGTAAGTTGCTTTCTCTGTATTCTTGGTTCTGATAGTGAGCAGAACCTGACCTTATCTCTCCCCACCCCCTTCTCCATTTGCCCTCTCTCTATTCTAATTCATGTCAGTTGGAGACGATCGTTTTCAAGGTACTGTTCAGGATATGCATTCTTGGTTATTGTCCACACATTCTTGAGGTCATTTGTGAGACACAGTTCATTTCTGCTTGTGGGAGGAGGAACAAGGTCACATATAGAATGTGACCTCTCACTAGTATATTTTATTGAGAAAATATATATATATAGGCACCTATTGTCTTTTGGTCTGAAAAAGTTCAGGGAATACAGTAAAGATTCTGATGTAGTCTCTGTCTACAAAGGAACTTAGAGCTTCATAATACAGAAAAAGGAAATTTTAGAAAGAAGGAAAGGTAGACTATACCAGGTTTCTTCGAGTTGGACAAATGAAAATCTGTGAAGGTTTCAGGAGGTGGCGTGGCATTGAACTGGAAAGAGAACTAATGGAAGAGGGCTTGCTGGAGAATACACCAGACAGAGGAAGATTTGTGCAAATAGGGTTCGTCTGCTGTGTAAGGGCGGGAGTTCTCATATGAAGAAGCAACCTGAATGAAGGCATGAAGGAGGATTCTCAGACTCCGGGAGGACTGTGACTTGCCCAGTTTCAGTGGAACTTCATCCACTTCTAAGGCAACTCTGAGTGATAGGCAGGAAAGCTAGACTGCAGTTCAGAGCAAGAAGTGCAAGCACTTGGGAGCTGTTTCATTAGCAGTGGGAAGCCACTGAAAGCTATAGCGGAGGCAGTGGTGTGCTCTAGAACACCTCAGGTGCTGGTGTGTAGGCTGACTCGGGGGGACAGGAGGACATCAGAGACGAGATGTAGCAATGTCTGAGATTGGAGAGGGGCCCACGGCAGGAGCTAGGGAGATGCAAGGGCACAAGATGAGCCCCAGACACCTGCCCCTGTGAACCTGGATGCTGGGGGGAGGATGGGAGCATGTCAATGTCAGAAGGGCTTTATGTTAGGAGGAGAAAGTGGTCCAAGAAGATGATTTGTTGATTTTGAAGTGAGATGGGAGAAGGACAATCACAGTGTATTACTTGCAGCTATGAAAACGTCACGATGAAGCCCGGTGTTCTGTACAATCGACGCACCCTAAGTAAAGAATCATGGGTCCAAAGGAGCACTGAAGTGGCAACAAGGTGACTCTCAGAGACAAAATACTAGACCCTGGCTTTTCCTATTTGTTTTCCTTGGTGGTCTTGGGTTTCGAGGGAGTCCAGGAACCTGCCTGAGCCTCTGCATCCTCATCCGAAGTGCAGAAACTGCTGTATCTCTCACAGGAAAGCTGTGAGCTCAGTGTGGCCTCAAAAACTGTCTCAGAGTATAAGGACTTAGTGACAGCTGTTACTTTGACTGCACAGAACAACAGTGGAAGCCACCAAGCTGGTCTAGAATGGTGAGAATGATCTAGAAAGGTGAGAGAAGGAAGACAGTGTAAAGAGAGAAGCCGAGACAGAATGTGGGAATCCTTCATGTAGAAGAAGAAGGGCCAGCCAAATAGCTCAGCGGATTAAAGCACCTGCAAGCAGGCACAGGGGCTGGGGATTTGATTCCATGCCAGCCCTGCACCCTGGGGCACACTGAGATAGCAACTGAGACTGGGCGTGGTGGCGCTCGCCTCTAATCCCAGCACTTGGGAGGCTATAAACAGGAGAATCACTATGAGTCCAATATAGTAGTGAGACCCTAAACACCCTGTAGACCCTTCCCTAAAATACAAAAATAGGGAGAAGGAGAAGAAGAAATGAAATAGGTAGAAAAGAAGAAGGAAGGAAAACTAAGGAGTGAAGTTTGCCACAACCCAAAGGGTGAGCATTTCAGTGTCATAATTCAGCACCGTCAGTTGCTACAAAGAAGCCAGACAGAAGCGACAACTCAAAGCCTTTCTGTAAAATAGACATTGCCAAGTGGCATTTTCCCATAAGAGAAGACTGCTGTGTGATGTGGAGCCATCTTCAGCCTTCACATTGAAAACAGCATTTCACCAGGCGCTTGCACTTGAATTTGTAAGCATCCAAGTACTCATCTGTGTTTCTGCCCATCCTCCTCTATCACAGCTCTTTCCAGAGCCACAGCAGGAGGGATGAGAGCCCATGGGCTCACGCCAGCCTCAAAGTTTTCATCTGCCCATTGCATCCCCCCTCCTCCCAGGAAGACGCTCTGGTCCTGAACATTAATGGGGAAAGGAAAAAGGGTGGGGTGAGGTTAGGCCTGACGCCGACAGAAATTGCTCACATGGAAAGTTGTGCATTTTCTGAAGCAAGCTTTTTGGAAATCTTCTAAAATTCTGTAGCTGACAGATCCAATTCAGAAACTGTGCTTCCAAGCTCTGTGGAGATTATGGTTTTGGAATCCTGAGCCTCCTGGAGAGAGAATATTTTAGAGCATGTAGAAAGTTGAAGCACATTGACAATTTAATTTAATGACTGATTTCTCTCCCTCCACTCAACAGGTAACTACTCTTAACAATTCAGTAGGAAACCTGCCCCTGTTATTTTTTCTCCTTATAAGTATGTTCATTTACCAGGTTGATTTAGGCGCTTAAGGCTTTCAGAGAAGTTTGAAACATTTCATAATTGATACAGCTCTTATCTGCAAGGATTTATGTAAGAGGAAATGAGAATTCATCTGAATTCTGCTTCAGTATTTAAGTAAATCTGATTTCTAACTTGGGGTCCTTGGAAAATGCCTCCTACCTTTTGGTAAAATGAGAGAAACAAAAATATAGCAAGATGGGGGAGTGTTTCTTTCTCCGTGTATATTCTCATTTCCAATGCTTCGACTTTATATTTCATTAGCATGTCAATGAGTAACATTTATGCCAATATCTGTTAATCACCCTTTGTAACTAAAATACTATGTTGCTTCTAAAGATGAGAATTTTAAGAACATGTTGCCACTGTATGCATCCAGTAATAGAATCAAGAGCTTGAAATATTAATTAAAATGTTATAGTGCCTAACTCCTCCCCTCGAACTGTAAGCCAAGCTAACAGCTGGAATATGAATATTTGAATTAACCCAAAACAACTTCTGGGATATCGTTAGGGAAGCTAGAAGTCCCTGAAAGTATTTTGGGAATGCATTTTCTTAGGGCAAACAAATCCTCATTTTTATTAAGAGAATGGATGCTTGCGGCCAGTGTGCACTGGACACAGAAAGTAGCCAGGGAAAGGAGGGACCAGCCAGCAGAGTGAAAGGGAATTGAGTAAACTTGAGGGAAGAGTATATGAAAGCTACATCCCCCGGCCTGTCCTAGTAATGGCCTTTGAGCATCGTGAGCCCCTGTGCTCTTCTCATTACCCAAAGGATGATGCTGAAGCAAAATAGAGATTGTTAGAAAAATGCCCAAGGCTTTTAGCTGTTTTTCTACCATTTGGGGGACATTTTCAGGTTTTCAGTGTTCATTTGCTGAGAGATGTTAGGGATCTTTGGGGGTATTTACTACTTGATTTCACAAACAGGAATCTGCAGCGGAGCTGCAGGTAAAAGCAGATAGCACGGTGCTGCCTCCTAACATTCCGATGCC